CATAGATCACTCCTGAAAAGCTTGTGGAAATTTCTCTTTTTGGTTTTTCAGTTATAAGATATCTGTTTAACTCAAGCGTTATCAGACAGGAGCTTTTATGTTCTGAGACAGGAGGAATATGAGATGGTAAACTATACAAAAACTCCTAGTAGATGTTGTTACTCAGATCTCTCCCTGCTACCTGTCCCCTAAAAGAAGGTAAAGAAAAAAATATTCATACAAAGTTGACTATGCCCTTATTGGATGAAGAGATTCTTAGAGTGTATATAAACTTGAGATTCTTCTCAAAGTACCTTCTGTCATGAAAATTCATTTTGATGTAATCTCTCTTAATATCTTTGAGGCAACTATTAATATTGTTATTTATACACCTACCAGAGATGAGCATTAGGGTGTATGGAGTTATTGCCAAAAAGGATATTGGAGACTATTACACTGAGAAAGGTAGTCTTGACGTAGATTGCGTTGACAGTGGCAGAGGTAGTAATTCCAAAGTATTGGAAGACGTTCCGTCTCTAACGTGAGTGAAATGGATGTGGCTTGTTCAGATTTAATATGCAGAGCAGCCTGTAAGCCAGAGGACAGAGAAATCGTCTGGAAAAAGTTTAAGTGCTTATGCACTTAATGACTCTTAAGAGCCACTGCTCATATATTTAAAGTTGAGCCCATGTTAAGTAGTTGTTTATGTACAACCGATAAGACTCATTCAACCTGAAGTGATTCCTCATCTTTCCTATGTTATTTTTACATTTAAAAATACATCAAAATGGAATAAAAATTAATTGATGGATTTAGAAGTTGTAGGAAAAAAGTTCCAAATCAAATGTAGCAAATTATTTGATAATACAGTATGAGCTGATGAAGAGTTGCTTCACATAGAGCTGCACCTTTTCGGCAAATCATTATTTACTGGGGGTGGAGGAATAGAAAGGGGAGAGATTAGCTTCATGGTCAGCTGGAATTTTTGTGTTGTCAGTTGGTGATGTGAGGAGAACACTTCTTTCTCCCTGGGGGGTTGACAGTAGCTTGTCTGTTGCTCGTGGAGCCCTTAGTGCTAAAAGAAGGTAACAAGACTTTCTCCGAGTTAAATCTGGAATTTACACTATTTAGTCAGTCTGAAAGAATAGTAGCTTTTCTTCTGTCTTGTGAAGTTTTAACATAGCTTGTAGGTTTGTAGTCTTCTATTTCCATTTGCTCTTTATTAACTACCAATTTACCACTTCCTTTTATCAGATTTCCTTGGCTCCATGCTGTGCTTGACTTTGAAAAAAGCCTCAGTGCTTTGGAAAAGGTATGTTTGGTTTGTATATAGAAGCCCGTAAGCCGTTACAGGTTTTCTGTTTTAACTGCAGTGGTAAAGATCTAAATAAATCACACCCTGTGAGTTTTACCTATGCTCACTTTTGTCTTAAATTTCCTCAATTATGGCTGCATACTTTCAGTTATAAATGACTACAGTTATATCAATTCATCAAATGATGTTAAAGAAATGATAGAACTGTGTTGCTTAATATGCTACAATTTTGTGTGTTATACATAATGTAAGTGAAGTGGTGAGATTGCATTTCACTATATATACAGTGTTTCGTAGATGCCATCCATTTATGGACATAATATAAAGGTTACAAATCCAATAGCTCTAGAGCTACAGGATTCCTGGATTATGGTTGCCTGTTCAGTTTCCAGCTCTGGCTTGAGATGGTGAACTACATAGTAGCTGTAAGGGATAGGTATAGAACAATGCATTATGAAGATTTTTCTCACCAGTGCCTAATTAAATACTGGAGAAATAAAACCGTGAGCTTCATACTGCAAATGGACTAAATTTCCTCATTTAACACCCTTCACCACCCCCCCCCATTGATTTATCATCATTATCATGCAGCAGCACTGTGTGTCCTTTCCAACCTTTTAAAATTAGGTAGGCTAACCTCAAGCTGGTCGGGAAGGAGTACTGTGAGTAGCAGAAGGAGTCAGATTTGTAGAGAGGTGTTCATCTCTGGACAAGAGAGGGCAGCTAAGCTGACAGTGAGCGTAAATGTAGATTTCAAAATCTAAGAGAAAAGTCTGACTGGAGCTGAAATAACACCTATGAAATGAAATAGGCCCAAAGGTGAAGCAGACTTCTGCCTTGCTGCTGCCGCCACTTTGCCTGTTATTAGTAAGTCAGTTGGCTGTATGGGATACCCTGCCTGAGGAAAAGAAAACCTTAAAAAAAGTAGTTGTTTGTCATGAGCTCAGGAGTAGCTA